TGCCTTAGACTTCTTCGGAATCAAGCAAATGTAAGTTTCATTAGTGCTACGATTAATAATGCCAGTTCTGAAAAAATCTTGGAACACTCCTAACAAATCATGTTTGAGAATGTTCCAAGACTTTTTGAAGAATTCATTTGTAAAACCATCGGGGCCCAGGGACTTTAAATTACCCAGACTGAAAACAGCTTGTTGGATCTCTTCCATCTCAAAAGGACGTTCAAGCCAATCTCTCCAATAGTCCTCCAGCTTGTCCCATTGCACCCCTTCAATCAGAAAGCGTGTGCCCTTCGGCTCACCATATAAATTCTCATAAAAGCCAATTATTTCATTCACAATCTCCTCCTCAGAGGTTAGTAACTCCCCATTTTCCAAAGCTATTCTTGTTAGTCAACTATTTAGTTTGTCAGCCTGTTGGTTCCTTCTTGGAAAAGTTTCAAAGTTATGTGGATACAATTATTTCCCTGTTTTATTTATCCAAAGTTTTTGAGGTAATCAACGCACTCAATATGCTTCTTTTCATTTCCTACAATTCTCTCTGTCGTGGCTCTCGTTACTAATTTCTTATACACTTTTTCTAGGTACAAACTCCTTCTGGAGTGGCACGAACCCAAAAGTTTGCTACTGAAACTGCAGATCTCCCAGCACGAGAGGGAGAAAGGGTCACAATTGCTGCTGCAGCTCCATCAAATGTATTTAGAGAAGTTGGTCCTTTTAAATTTAGTCCAAAGGATCCCAAATTTTACTCTGGGGAGCCTATGTGCCTGACAAATCATACGGATGGCCGTGAATCACTATTATTAAGAGTGCCAGCAAAGGGAACCTCATCCTTACTTAACCCATCGACCCTCTTCCCACTCATAGCGTTGTCTGCTGCTGGAGATGCTGCCGCCGGAGTTGTTGACCCCAGCTTGCCTCGGTTGCTTTTAGTTACTGGATTTGCTTCTCTAGCTGCAGGAGCTACTTTGAACTCATTTCTTTTGCCTCAATTTAACCGGGTATTGATTTATTTATTCACTATTTTCTGTATTGCTATTCCTATGTTTAAATCTCACAAATTATTCCAACTTCTTTTTTAAAAATTTGTCCTCAAGATGCCATGTCTTTATGTGTGTGCGTGTTTTAAAATTTTGGCTTGTGGTATCAATAGGCTCACTGAATTATAATTTGAAAATTTTCAACTGTTGAAAATGACTTGAGATARGTTTGAAAATGCTCTTGGAAGTGTAGTGTTTTCGAACCAATTTTATTCCATCAACCCACTTTTAGCAAAGCCATACCATATGTTAAATACTTTTCCAAAAGACTTTGAAGTGTCTCTGAACTTTTTTGAAAATTTTTAAAAATAAAAATACATAACAGTTAAACATCATGGAAATTTCAAGAATGTAATTATAATATTGAAAAGCAGTTTCCATTGAAAAATTGGGAAGCACTCCAATGCAACGGTAGGTACAATATCCGCTGCCATTAACAAATTACATCCTCGTGAAACAAAAATTAGGCACATTGCTCAAATCCCTAATGGACATCTGGTCATAAAATAGAATTCAGTTATTACAACCCCTATGGTGACCAGATTTTACTCTTTTGCTCTCTAATATTATTAACTTTTCTCCTTGTATTCTTTAATAGAAAAGAATTCATATGTCCCTTTGATTGTGTCAGCTTCCTCAACGATCAGTTGATATCATTGCTATCAAGCAGCAGCTTTTATCTCAATATAATGTGCTTCAGTCTCGTATCAGGGATTTAAAACTAGCTGCTGAGAAGGAGGTAAGCACTCACAATAGTCTTGGCCATAGCATCATTAAGTAAAAATTTCAAAGCAGAGTAGAAACTGTTATAAAATTAGGAGCATGAATGACACTATAGAATTCTTTTTTTTTTTCTATTTTTTCCCTCCTTTAGTTTGATATGGAAATGCAAGCATATTCAATCAAATATATTACAAGTTGTAGATGGCCAGTTTTCATAGAAATGTTAAAGAAAGCTATCAAGATTTATAAGCGTCGTCTCCCTTATGAGCTTGATGAATGAATATATGTAGATACTATGCCATTAAAAAAGGGGCTAAAAAATAGAGATCATGCATGTAGATGAAGTTCATTCGTCAAATGTACAAACGGCACATGATTTAAATATCCTCTTTCTTTAGATTATGAAATAACTGATTTATCACTTATTTCAAATAAAAAATTCGTCTAATGCATTCTGTTGACATTGATTCTGGTTTTAAGTACGTATTATAAGGTTCAAATAAGTTGAATACACGAGCTTCAACAATGTGTCGCACAAATACTAATTTTTTATAGCTGAAGAAGAACACTGGAATTAATTACCATTATTGTTCTTTAATCTAAAACCTGAGTTTTCTTGACTTACACACTCATCAGTCAA